CGATGGACAAACCCCTGTTACGCCACAACAGCCCGATAATACAGGTGGCACGCCAACGCTAAGCGTCTCTACTGCAGCACCGCTGACAGAGGCAACACTACATGAGAGCGTTGTCACACTCACGCTCAGCGGTGCTACATATAACACCAGCGAGTATTATGTCAGTCAGAACGTGGAGGTATCAGGTATTACTGGGGTGACATTTAGACAGCATGATGTGGACCGCGTCAGTGACACGAAGGTCACAGTTGAACTTGAGTTTAACGGCGACTTCGACACCGATGGCACCCTGACCTTCACAGTGGGCGCAGATGCCCTCGCAAACTATAACGGTCCTGCACTCACAGCACAAATCTCTGTGTCTGCTGTTACGGAGTCGGTCACTGCATCAACTGCTGCACCGTTGACAGAAGCGACTTTAGATGAAAGCGTAGTTACACTCACCCTTAGCGGTAGGAAATATGAACGATTGAATCCTACAATTAGAGATGCTGTGTCTGTCTCTGGCATTGCGGGTATTACCGTTCGGGATATTGATATAGACCGAGAAAGCGACACGGAAGTTTCCGTTGAATTGACATTTGATGGAGACATCACTACCGATGGCACTCTCACCTTTACCGTCGGTGCTGATGCGATCGCAGGCTATAATGGTCCTGCCTTCACTGTGCAAGTCTCTGTGTCGGCTAGCACGGAAACACCTGTTGTAACCGATGGACAAACCCCTGTTACGCCACAACAGCCCGATAATACAGGTGGCACGCCAACGCTAAGCGTCTCTACTGCAGCACCGCTGACAGAGGCAACACTACATGAGAGCGTTGTCACACTCACGCTCAGCGGTGCTACATATAACACCAGCGAGTATTATGTCAGTCAGAACGTGGAGGTATCAGGTATTACTGGGGTGACATTTAGACAGCATAATGTGGACCGCGTCAGTGACACGAAGGTCACAGTTGAACTTGAGTTTAACGGCGACTTCGACACCGATGGCACCCTGACCTTCACAGTGGGCGCAGATGCCCTCGCAAACTATAACGGTCCTGCACTCACAGCACAAATCTCTGTGTCTGCTGTTACGGAGTCGGTCACTGCATCAACTGCTGCACCGTTGACAGAAGCGACTTTAGATGAAAGCGTAGTTACACTCACCCTTAGCGGTAGGAAATATGAACGATTGAATCCTACAATTAGAGATGCTGTGTCTGTCTCTGGCATTGCGGGTATTACCGTTCGGGATATTGATATAGACCGAGAAAGCGACACGGAAGTTTCCGTTGAATTGACATTTGATGGAGACATCACTACCGATGGCACTCTCACCTTTACCGTCGGTGCTGATGCGATCGCAGGCTATAATGGTCCTGCCTTCACTGCGCAAGTCTCTGTGTCGGCTAGCACGGAAACACCTATTGTAACCGATGGACAAACCCCTGTTACGCCACAACAACCTGGTGATAAAGACCCTCCCGAACAACCCGATAATAATACAGGTGGCACGCCAACGCTAAGCGTTACCACTGCAGCACCACTCACAGAGGCAACACTGCATGAAGGAGTCATCACACTCAACCTCAGCGGTGGCACTTTTGAGCGGTCAAGTTTCACAATCAAAGATGCGATAACGCTTACCGGGATAACAGGTGTTACCGTTGACACATTCGGTGTGGATCGTCTCAGTGATACGCAAGTCACCGTTAAACTTGCATTTGCGGGTAATATGACAACGGATAGCACACTCACAATCTCCGTAGGAGCAGGAGCGATTAAGGATTATAACGGGGCTGCGTTGACTTGGCAAATATCTGTCCGTGCTGTTACGGAGTCAATGGCCGCATCAACTGCATCTCAATTGACAGAGGCAACGTTAGACGAGAGCATTGTCACGCTCACCCTAAACGGTGCTAAATACGCACGATCCATCTTTGACATCAGAGATGCTGTGACAGTATCTACTGGTATTGCCGGCGTTACTGTTGGATCGTTCGGAGTCAGGCGCGTCAGCGACACGAAGGTGACAGTTGAACTTGAATTTGATGGTACCGACTTCGACTCCGCCTCTACGCTCACCTTTACCGTGGAGGCAGATGCGATCGCAGGCTACAACGGACCCGCATTCACCGCACAAATATCCGTCACCGCAAACACGGAATTCGTGGTTGCCTCAACAGCGTCTCCCTTGACAGAGGCAACCCTTGATGAAAGTGTTGTCACATTGACCCTCAGCGGTAGAACTTTTGAACGATCCAGTTTCAAAATCAGAGATGCGGTGACAGTCTCTGGTATTGCCGGTGTCACTGTTGGCACGTTTGACATAGATAGAGTCAGTGACACACAAATCACCGTTGAACTTACATTTGACGGAAACATCAACGCCGATAGCACACTCACCTTTACCGTAGGTGCGGATGCTATAGTAAACTACAGCGGATCCGCACTCACAGCGCAAGTAACTGTTACTGCTGACAGAGAGAACGTGCTATTGGCAAACTTCCCGAACCCGTTCAACCCAGAAACGTGGATACCGTATCAGTTGGCAAAACCCACAGAGGTCACTATCACAATCTATGCTGTGAACGGACAGGTAGTTCGGACGTTGGCACTCGGACATCAACCCGCGGGTATGTATCAGAACCGCAGCCGTGCGGCGCATTGGGATGGTAGAAACGAATTCGGTGAAAAGGTCGCGAGCGGCTTGTATTTCTACACGCTTACCGCAGGTGATTTTTCTGCTACGCGCAAGATGTTGATACGGAAGTACTGAAAAGGTTCTGTAGGAGCGGTCCGTGCCCGCCTTGCAGGCACTACAATACATAATTACCGAAGGTTGATTTTCGCTCACAAACAACAAGTTTTTCACAAGCTAGCGACCCGATAACCATTCGCTAGTCACAAATTTGAAAAGGAGAAAAAAATGAGAATGATTTCATTATTTCACACATTGGTCTTCATGGTAACCGTGCTGACCTTCAGCGTGCCTTTTGTCACCCTCGCCCAACAGAATGCGTTGCAGGCAGAAGCCATAGCTGATGCTGAAAAAGATGCTGCAATCGATGTCGATACGACCCGTTGGTTCTGGGGAGGTTGTTTCGGTGGCGTAGGCGCGCTCACTCAAATCTATGAGCCTTCTCCACCTGCGTCGCGCCTCATCGGCAAATCGCCAGAATATACCGCCTATTACACGGATGCATACAAGGCAAAAGCCTCCGAACTTCAATCTTCAGCGTTTAGGAAGGGTTGTGTTACGGGTGGCGTACTCAACGTTGGATGCGGCATCATAGGAATGATAATGATTACAAACGACGATTCTGGTTATAGCTCATCTGGTAGTTCATCATGCCTCGGGTTTTAGGTGGCAACTTGGGTTGTTAACCGGCATCTCTTTCACGTGTAAAGAGTGGGGGTGCACGAAAGTCTTTCCGCCCACTACGACAGCAAGGAGCGATTTCGCATTGAAATCGAATACCTATATTCTGACAAATTGCTATTTAAAAAAGGAGAACGAATCTCATGAAAAAGATGACATTTTCACTTTAACCTTACTTGTTCTTTCAACTATCAGTTTACAGACCACCTTCGCTCAAGACATATCGTTTTCACCCGATGGCACAACCCTCGCATCCGGGTCTGATGATGGTACGGTGAAGTTGTGGGACGTAGCGACAGGCACAAATATCGCTACACTTGAAGGACATACGAGTAGTGGTCTATTCTGTGTCGTTTTCGCCCGATGGAAAAACCCTCGCTTCTGGATCATGGGATGACACAATCAAGTTATGGGATGTGGCGACACACGAAAATATCGCTACACTTCAACGCCCTCTTGAAAATTGGTCCCTTCCTATGTCGTTTTCACCCGATGGCACAACCCTTGCTTCCGGGACAGCGGGTGGCACGGTGAAGTTGTGGGATGTGGCGACACACGAAAATATTGCCACACTTCAAGGACCTCTTAAAGATTGGTTCATTCCTGTGTCGTTTTCGCCCGATAGCACAACCCTTGCTTCTGGGGCAGGGGATGGCACGGTGAAGTTGTGGGATGTGGCGACACACACGAAAATATCGCTACACTTGAAAGGCATAGGGGTGAGGTCTATTCTGTGTCGTTTTCTCTGGATGGCACAACCCTCGCTTCCGCGTCAGGGGATGTGAAGTTGTGGGATGTGGCAACAAAAGAAAATATCGCCACACTTCAAGGGTATGGGGAGTCTGTGTCGTTTTCACCCGATGGCACAACCCTCGCCTGCACATCAGAGGATGGTATAATCAAGTTGTGGGATGTGGAAACCCATGAAAATATCGCCACACTTCAAGGGAATGGGGATTACCGCCCTGGTGGTTCCTTTTCGGCTTTGTTTTCACCGGATGGGACGCGGCTCGTGTCCTGGGGCGGGTTTGGTGACGAGGTAGAGTTGTGGGATGTGGCGACACACGAAAATATCGCCACACTTCATACGGGTTGGGTCTCGTATGTGGCATTTTCACCGATGGCACAAACCCTCGCTTCCGGGCCAGGAGAGTTGTGGGACGTGGCTGAAGAGTTGCGGCCGCGCCCCAATACGCTGGTGAAAATCTCCGGCGATGACCAGCAGGGCACACCCGGTGCAGCGTTAGCCCATCCCTTGGTTGTTGAAGTGAGAGATCAGTACGATAACCTTTTACCAGACGCTCAAGTCACGTTTACGGTCACCGACGGTGGGGGGCAGCTGAGTGAGCAGTTCACGGTTGAGCACGCAACGACCGATGCCAATGGCCAGGCAGAACTCACGCTTACCCTTGGTCCTAATCTGGGAACAAACACCGTTGAGGTAACTATCGCCGGGCACGAGCCGGTGACGTTTCATGCAGCCGGAATTCTCATACTGGTGAAAATATCGGGCGATGAACAACAGGGCACATTCGGCTCAACACTGGCGAACCCCTTGGTTGTTGAAGTGAGAGATCGGGACAATAATCCCTTCCAGGTGTTGAAGTCACATTTACGGTCACCTACGGTGATGTTGCTGAGTGGGCAGTCCACGGTTGAACACGTAACAACCGATGCCAATGGTCGTGCAGAGCGCACGTTTACCCTTGGGCCTGATCTGGTAGGCAACACTGTTGAAGTAACTATCGCCGAGCATGAGTCGGTGACGTTCTATGCTGTGGGCAACTCGCCATCCTACATCACTGCCCTTGAGGGGCATGCTGATGGTGTCCGGGCTGTATCGTTTTCACCCGATGGAACGCTGCTCGCTTCCGGTGGTGGGGAGGGGTTCCAGGAGGATGGCACGGTGAAGTTGTGGGATGTGGCGACAAAACAAAATATCGCAACGCTTTACGGACATACGGGTGCGATCAATTCTGTGGCGTTTTCGCCGGATGGAAAAACCCTCGCTTCCGGGTCAAGGGATGGCACAGTCAAGCTGTGGGACGTGGCGACAAAACAAAATATCGCCACTTTCAAGCATGCAGTGGGTGGGGTCGCTTCGGTGTCGTTTTCGCCCGATGGAAAAACCCTCGCTTCCGCGTCATTGTCCTTCTCTTTCTTCGATGCTAATTTAGACGACGGCACTGTGGAGTTGTGGGACGTGGCAACAAAACAAAATATCGCCACACTTCAAGTGATTGCCACGTCTGTCGCGTTTTCGTCTGTCGCGTTTTCGCCGGATGGAAAAACCCTCGCTTCTGGGACACTGGATGGCACGGTGGAGTTGTGGGACGTGGCAACAAAACAAAATATCGCTACCCTTCAAGGGCATACGTATTGGGTCAATTCTGTGGCATTTTCACCCGATGGAAAAACCCTCGCTTCCGGAGCCCTGGATGAGGATGCTGCTACGACCAAGTTATGGAACGTAGCAACCCGAGAAAATATCGCCACACTTCAAGCACCTGGCTTGTCTGTGGCGTTTTCGCCGGATGGGACGCTGCTCGCTTCCGGGTCGGATGTGGTTGAACTGTGGGACGCGGGGACCGGAGTAAATATCGCAACGCTTTACGGACATACGGGTGCGGTCTGGTCTGTGGCATTTTCACCGGATGGGACAACCCTCGCTTCCGGGTCAGGGGATGACACGGTCAAGCTGTGGGATATATCATCCACATCCACCACTCCGCCTGAACACCTCGCTGAGGATGTTAACAACGACAGCGTGGTAAACATCCAAGATTTGGTGTTAGTTGCTTCAAACCTCGGCAAGACAGGACAAAACGCTGCAGATGTGAACGGTGATGGCGTTGTCAATATACAGGACCTTGTCTCGTTGCTGGCGCATTGGGCACAAGTGCCGCAGCACCGCCACTGAATTCCCAATCCTTATCAACACTTACCGCCTCCGATGTCAAGGGTTGGCTGACCCAAGCACGGCAATTAAACCTGACAAATGCAACGTCGCAAAGAGGCATTCTCTTCTTAGAGCAACTCCTCACAGTGTTAACTCCGAAAGAGACAGCACTCTTGCACAACTATCCGAACCCGTTTAACCCTGAGACGTGGATACCCTACGATTTGGCAAAGGATGCGGAGGTCACACTGCATATCTATGCTGTGAATGGCACGTGGTGCGGACGTTGGCACTTGGGCATCAGGCTGCGGGCGTTTATCAAAATCGTTCTCGCGCTGCGTATTGGGATGGTAAAAATGAGTTCGGTGAAAAGGTCGCGAGCGGCTTGTATTTCTACACGCTTACTGCAGGAGACTTCACTGCAACGCGGAAAATGTTAATTCGGAAGTAGTAAAGAGGTTTGTCGGTGGTATGCTTTAACAAACAGGCCGAAAACTGTTTGTACGCATGCCATAGGAACCAACCACAATACTATAGGAAGATTGATTGGTCGGAAGGAAGCAGGTGTTTGTTGCCTGTTTTCCTTCTGCACTTTACATCAAAATGTAAGTACATCCATTATAGTAAAATCCACAATTAAGTTTACACTGTCTGATGTGGCGAGGTTAGGAATGCAGATCGCATTTGGGCGTGTACGCCGTAAAACCTCGCCAACAATGCGGTGAACGGGATGGATTGTCCGTGGAAGTGTCAAAGTATTTTTAGAGTTTACTATAATCTAAAAAGGAGAAACAGAGTGAAAATCAATTCTACATTTCATGTTTCAGTTTTCCTAATGGCAGTGCTGGTCTTTAGCATGCCTTTTGTCACCCTGGCTCAACAAAACGCTGAAGTGGCAGATACAAAATCCACCATCGAACGAGATACTAAATCAGAAAATCAGCCATTGATAGCAACTGCGAAAGCAGATGCTGAACGAGATGTAAAAGTTGATTTTGGAGATTATGAAAAGTTTCTTTGGTTCTCAGTAGGATTTGGCTGTAGTGTCTTTGGCGTTGCTGCTGCTCTCGGGGAGGCACAGCCTCCGCCGGTTCGGTTACTCGGTAAATCACCTGACTATGTGGGAATCTACGCACACACTTATCAGGAAAAATTACGGAAAAATCGAATAGTATTTGCTGGAACCGGGTGTGCCCTGTCCTTAGGTCTCTTCATAGCCCTTACTTCAAATACCTCATCGGATAACGCTTCAGAGGTGGCATGGGATAACTCTTCAGATGTCTCATTGGGCGATACCACTTCGGATTGCCTAAGTTTAGTGGATCTTTTAGATGCGGGTGCTTCATGCCTTCTGGACGATGCCTTTGGGGATTGTTTATTTGGGGATTGTTCATTCTAACGCCCAAACGGAAGTGAACAACCGCTCACCTCCAACATCACAAATCAGTGAAGCCGTTTAAACGGCGTGTATTTCTATACACTCACCGCAGGTGATTTTTCTGCTACGCGCAAGATGTTGATTCGGAAGTAGCATTTATCAGAGCAACATGGAAAATTGAAAGGTTAAAGATAATACGTTGCCATCCTTCCAATTTCCATACAATAACCCGATTGCATGTTGCAATCGAAAATCAATAAAAGGAGAAACTCCATCATGAAGAAGACACTATTTTCGATTTTCTCGACACTACTTTTTATTTCAATCATCTTTCTACCAAACACCTTCGCCCAAGGCTACACACAATCGGGTTTACCTGAAGGTGCCACGGCGCGCCTCGGTAAAGGTAGTATAAACGAAATCGCGTATTCTCCTGACGGCACGCGTCTGGCGGTGGCGAGCGCTATCGGTATTTGGCTATATGATGCGCAGAGTGGACAAGAACTTAACCTGCTCATAGGGCATACGGATTCTGTCAATAGTGTATCTTTTAGTCCTGATGGTCAGACGCTGGCAAGCGGAGGTGGGTTGGAAATCGCTTTATGGGATGTGCTGACAGGTAGTAAGAAGCATACGCTCACAGGGCGTATGGGTTCGGTCCGAAGCGTATCTTTTAGTCCCGATGGTCAGACGCTGGCAAGCGGAAGTAGTGACGGTACTGTCCGTTTATGGGATGTGCTGATGGGTAGTGAGAAGCAGATACTCACGGGGCATACGGATTATGTCGAGAGCGTATCTTTTAGTCCCGATGGTCAGACGCTGGCAAGCGGAAGTTATGACGGTACTGTCCGTTTATGGGATGTAGTGACAGGTAGTGAGAAGCAGACACTCACGGGGCATAGGGGTCCGGTCAATAGCGCATCTTTTAGTCCCGATGGTCAGACGCTGGCAAGCGGAAGTTATGACGGTGCTGTCCGTTTATGGGATGTAGTAACAGGTAGTGAGAAGCAGACACTCACGCATACGGATTGGGTCAATAGCGTATCTTTTAGTCCTGATGGTCAGACGCTGGCAAGCGGAAGTTATGACGGTGCTGTCCGTTTATGGGATGTGCCGACAGGTAGTGAGAAGCAGACAGCTCACGGAGCATACGGATTCTGTCAATAGCGTATCTTTTAGTCCCGATGGTCAGACGCTGGCAAGCGGAAGTGAGTGCTGGTCCGTTTATGGGATTGCTGAGGGTAGTAGAACAGACTCCAGGGCATAGTGTTTGTCGCGAGGTTCTTTACCCGATGGTCAACGCTGGCAAGCGTGGTAGTGGAAACTCTTTATGGATGTGCTGACAGGGTAGTGAGAAGCATACACTCACGCATACGGATTCTGTCAATAGCGTATCTTTTAGTCCCGATGGTCAGACGCTGGCAAGCGGAAGTTATGACGAAACTGTCCGTTTATGGGATGTAGTGACAGGTAGTGAGAAGCAAACACTCACGGGGCATAGGGGTCCAGTCAATAGCGTATCTTTTAGTCCCGATGGTCAGACGCTGGCAAGCGGAAGTTATGACGAAACTGTCCGTTTATGGTGTAGTGACAGGTTGGAAGCAACCTCACGGGGCTAGGGGTCGGTCAATACGCTCTTTAGCCGATGGTCAGACGCTGGCAAGCGGAAGTTATGACCAAACTGTGCTGTTATGGGATATATCATCTGTCACTACATCAACGGGTCAAGAAATGCCGATAACTGAACCAACCGGACTCAAAGAGGATGTGAACGGTGATGGTATCGTAAACATACAAGATTTGGTGTTAGTTGCTTCAAACCTCGGCAAAACTGGACAAAACGCTGCAGATGTCAACGGTGATGGCGTTGTCAATATACAAGACCTTGTCCTCGTTGCTGGCGCATTGGGACAGTGTAGATGCCGCCGCATCACAGCTACCCGTCGAATTCTGAATCCGTTATCAACACTTACCGCTCGCGCCGATTGTTAATCGTGGCTATCTCAGGCACAGCACGTCAACCTCACGGATGCTTTTGTTGCTTGCATGGCGCAAAAAAGGTGGATTCTCTTCTCGAGCAACTCCTTGCAAGTTTTTGACTCGAAAGAAGATACAGTGCTTTTGCCTAACTACGCCAAACCGTCAATCCTGAACATGTGATACCTTACCATTTGGCCGAAGACCGAAGATGTGGAGTGTCACACGCATGCTACGGTCGCTGTGATGGCACGTTGGTCGACGTTGGCACTTGGACCAATCAGGCTGCAGGTATGTATCAATAGCCGCTAGGCGTGTCGCACATTTGGATGATAAAAACGTGCTAGTTCGGTGAAAGTCGGGACTGCATGGCGGTTTCTTTGTATTCTATGCACTTACGCAATTGGCGAGATTTCAAGCAACACGCAAGATGTTGATAGGGCGAAATAAACTCATCGTCGCTGTAGGGCGACTTGGGTCTATCTATACACATCAGCCCTACAACGGATTTTATAGAAGGAACAGAAGTATGCACCCAAAAATTAGAGTTTCAATTCTAATAGTTGTCTTGCTTGTTACATCGCTTGTCCTCATCAGTTGTGGAGCTTTTGAAGATGATAACAACCAACCAGCAATTGAACCCATAACCGATAAAACGCTTGATGTAGGTGACGAAACAACAGCGGAAGTCAACATCACCGATGCGGATATTGACGACACACATGCTATCAATGCCTCGTCTGACGATATGACAGTTGCTACTGTCTCCGTTGGCGCGGCATCCATTACCATCACGGCTAAAGCGGAAGGCGTGGCAACAATCACAGTCTCTGTCACAGACGACAGTGGACAGGACAATGCAACAGCAACACCGGTAACGTTTAAGGTCACTGTCAATGAACCACCGCCGCCACCACCGATTAGGGCGAATCAGGTTTGCAAAGTTGGGTATGACGGTGGGAACGGGTTGAAAGTGTGGGTTATGGACCGCTCGTTGTGTTTTCTGTTCGTGAGGATGGATCTGCATGCCGAGCCAGCTCACAACCTATTTTCCACAATGTATTCGGTATTGACGTACGGATTGACAATCCAAGTATATGTGGAGATTACGATATAGAGCAAGATGACTTCTTCAATACCAATTTCTCTGCCAGCAAAAATGAAGACGGAACTTGGACCATTAAGGAAGTCCCAGCATTCAATATTTACTAATCCTGTTCCAAAATAAGGAGAACAACGCATGAAAACGACACTATATTTCATACTCACACTACTCACTTTTGTAGCGCTCGCCTTTGTGCCGAATAGTCTCGCACAAGCGAATGAACCTCACAATATGGTCCGACTCATCTATTTTGTTCCCAACGGTCTCACGCCTCAGCGAGACATGAACACGAAGATAGATACGTTGATAAAAAAGGTGCAGACGTTTTACGCCGATGAGATGGAACGGCATGGATTCGGTAGAAAAACTTTCGTGTTTGAAGCCGATAGTGTCGGCAACGCTGTCGTACATCGCGTCAATGGAAAAGTCCCTTATGGAGCAGGTTATAATACGCTCACTTTTAGCAATGAACTTAGAGAAGAAGTTTATCAACCATTTGACTCCTCTAAAAATGTTTGCTTTATAGTTGTAGAGGCCGGCCAGGAAATGCTGCAGCGCTTCTGCGGGTCCGGTAATCACAATATTGAGAATAAGAATGGGGCAGGAGATCGAGGAGGAGAGGCACTCGTCGCCGCATCAGGGAAGTGTTTTGTTGGGAACTCTGGCTTCATTGTTGCCGCTCACGAACTCGGACACGCCTTTGGCTTAGAACACGATTTCAGCAATGATACCTACCTCATGTCTTACGGAGCATTCCCGTACGAATTGGCTCTGTGTAGTGCTGAATGGTTCAATGCCAGTCGCTATTTTAATAATTTCCACCAAACTCCGCCTAACAGAGGGATAACGACGATTGAGATGCTTCCACCCACTGTCTCCGCAACTGATGGTTTTCGCTTCCAATTCAAGGTAAGCGATCCTGATGGGCTTCAGATCGCACACTTGATTATGCCAGAGGTTCCTGGTTTGCCAGGAGGACTGAGAGGAGGACAGGTGGGTTGCAAAAAATTAACAGGTAAAAGTCAGACCGTGGAGTTTGTTACGACTGAATTACCGCTACAATTTCATTCACGATATAATTATCAGTATGTGACACTTCGCATTCTTGATAGTGAAGACAATTTGGCAGCGAGGGAAGAAATCGATATTTCCGACCTGTACCCTTCGCCCCAAGTGGTTTCAATACCCGATGCGAATTTAGCATCGGCAATCCGAGGTGCGCTTAAATTAAAGACGAAGACGATCACGCAACTGGATATGCTCGGGTTAAGGGATCTTCGTGCGTACATTCAGAAAATAACAGACCTTACCGGACTTGAACATGCGAAAAATCTAAAGTATTTGTATCTCCAATTTAATCAGATTAGCGACATTACCGTTTTGGGACAGTTACCGAATTTAGCAACGGTATATCTCCGATTTAATCAGATTAGCGACATCACACCTCTCGCAAAACTAACCAATTTATTATCATTAAATCTTTCAGATAATCCGATTGATGATATAAGTCGAGTCACAGAACTAACGCAGTTGCGAGGGGTTGTATCTGAGAGGCTATCAAATCCAAGATTTGACACCGTTCACCGGATTTACCAATCTACGCGTTTAAATCTTGAAATTAACGCAAATTATTGACATTACACCCCTCGCAGCATTGACTGAACTAGAATTGTTATACCTTAGTAGGAATCAAATTAGCGACATTACACCACTCGCTATAAATAAGCGCGGTTGAGAGAATTTACGGTTGATAGGCAACCAAATCGCCGATGTAAGCCCCCTCGCTGTGACTGGTAAACCGTTAAAGGACTCTACGGCTTGAGGGAAACCCAATTAAGGATAGGAACCGCTTCTCGACTTCGAAAAGAATCCCGATGTCAAGATATATCTCAAGCGGGTGGGTGACCGTTGCCCGTTACGTTGTCTCATTTCCGGGCAGAACATACCGATGCAGGCGTTGTGCTGAAATGGATCACCGAATCGGAAGTGGACAACGCAGGGTTCTATATCCACCGCAGTGAAACAAAGGATGGCGAATTCAAGGTCGTCAATCCTAAGCAAATGATACAAGTGTGCAGGCACTACAAGTGAACGCAAACACCTACACATGGAAGACTCCACCGCAAAACCGAATGTCGCTACTATTACCGGATAGAGGACATCTCGCATGCTGGTGTTCGGAAGTCAGTTAGCACCGTTCGCATGAGAGGACTTGTCTCCGCAAACTGGGAAACTTACCACAAGGTGGGCTGATTTGAAAACGCAGGACTAATAATAGGAGCGTATTCCCCATGGGGTGCACACTCCTAATGAAATGCGGGTGATCCATAAATCATTGCAACTGCAACAGTAGCAAGCAATGCCTCCAGGGCTATTTAGTTTTCGGTTTTTTAGTTTCCGTTTTGATTTGAAAGTCTCGAATCGGAGCGTGCTTCTACAGGTGTATGTTGAGATTTAGGGTTCACTTTTATCGTAGAACTAAATGACCCTGGCAATGCCTCGGTTCACAAGTGTCGCACGAGAGAAGTCTCTTTGTAGCACAATCTGTATGAAGATTAAAGAAATAATTCGGTAATTTCTTGGGTTAAAAACTGTGGCGTTTTTTCTGGCGTTATGCCCGGCCG